CTCATACTTCACAAACATTCTACTGTTTGATTCAACAAATCTGTAGTCAACATTCTCATAATGCACCTTTTTAAAAATTTCCTTTAACAACATTTGAATAAAATTTTGTGACTTGGTAATAGCCTGATCAGAAAGCACAAATGAACAGATCTGGCTATACATTAATATAATATGAAAATGAACAACAATGGAAAAATGCATGTTCAAGTATGCAAAAAAAATACAAAACAAGGGAAACAATGACTAAGATAGCCTGTTTCTTAGGGCTACTGTTTAAAGCAATATACTGAAAAATATTGACCTTGCTGAGGTATAAATCACATTCATGATTGATACTGTCTAATATAGGCTCATGACTGAATATAGGACAACTAATCGGTCTGTAAAAGATTTCTGCAACTCTTCTATATAGAATATTAACAGTTATATGTAATTTCAATTTAATTCAATTTTTTTTATAATTTACCTTATTCCTAAAAATCATATACATGATTAACTTAAAGGTTTAATTCAACATGTCATCACAAAAGGCTGAAAAGTAAAGTAAATATGAGAGAAAAAGCTCACTACAGATTTGTGAACCAAACATTACAATAAAATACTCTTGAATACTCCTAGTCAACAAAACAACAAACATGTTCTCCATTTATAAAATGGAACACAAAAATTGAACAATAATTGAACAAAGCTGATACAAAAAATCCAATATTCCATTATTTCATTGCATGCATACATGTGATTCTGATTCACTCTGGGTATATAATACTTACTATATTATTTTTCCAAATGAATCTCAAGAACTCTACAACATGATAAATAATGACTATAAATCAAACAGTACCATGATATGATTATCCTACACAAAAATTATTTAACGACTTGCTCTTAACACAAAAATAAATCCAGATAAAGACCATACTTACAAATTTCAACCATTTTGAGAAAGAAGTAAAAAGAAACGTGAATAATTTGACTTTCAGCTAAAAAAATATTCACTGCTTCCTTAATTTAAACTCTTAAAAGATATATTAAGTTTCCATTTTGCAAAAAAAAAGTTTTCCTCACAGCTCTTGAATCATGATTTTAAATACTGAAAGCAGGAAACAGCTTGTCTGGCAAAGCACATAATGAACAAAATGTGACATTTTACTTACAAAATATGACATTTCAATAACAAAATGTGATATTCAACTTACAAAATGTGACATTTGAATCTTTAAATGTGATTTTTTGAATTATAAAATGTGACACTTCACTTACAGAATGTCTTATTTTGTTTATGAAACTTGACATTTAACTACCAAAATGTAACATTTTAAATCATAAATTGTGAAGGTAACCTTACAGAATAAGACAGTGTGATTTACAAAATGTGAACCATCAATGTAATGATATGTGTGATATAACATACCATGTATGGTTAACTTCAATATTTGTTAAACAGACCAGACAAGAACGTGTACTAGTATAACATGCTATGTCATTAAAAACATCATCATTCCTAAAGAAAAGTATAAAATCTTACAAACACTTCTTTAAAAAATAGAATGTTTTTCTTAAAAATGATCTTAATGGAATAACTACCATACTAAATACGATAAAAATATAGAGAGTCGTTAGACAGTAAAATGGAAACAGTTCATCCATGAAGAACCATACCTAATGGAGACTGTAACAATAAAATTCTTGTAAGATCATAACATCATAACGTTTCTGTTTGCTCCTGATTTAAACAAGAAATACAGAACATATGAAAAACTGTATGTGAAATGATTATTTCTTTAGCAAAAAAATAAAATATATGCCTTGCCAATCTGTTAATGTAAAATTATTCTGATATATATTTTATCTTTGATTTGTATGCATAATGTTTCACAGTTTTAGCAAGGTTTATCTGTTATAATCTTAACATAGTTTCAGCTGTAAATCATTGATTGACCTTGACACACAATCATGAGAATATTGCAACAATATTGACAGTGTTTCTAACTACAACAACAACAAGTAGAAGCCATGTGTAATACTGAAGCAAGCTTACATTAATTACTACTCTCAATGAATCTAAACAAAAGGATACCTATGAACTCTTTTAAAGTAATTCTTGTTTAAATACTTAGGATATATCAAAATATAACATGTTTATCCTAAATTTTCATTACAACTTTTAAACAATATATTTATTTTTACAAATTCTACAATCTAAGTTACTAAACTTTAGAATCACTACATGTGGAAAATTCTTTTTTTTTCTCCCCTTTTTTCCTCATTTTTTTAAAAAAGAATATCATTAACATGGTTATTTGTTTTTATTTTATATAACTTTACTGGGTACAGTGTGATCCTAGATTATATATGTGACTGGTTCCCATAAAACTGTGTTCAAAGCTATCCTAATGTCTAAAACCATTTTTTGTAGAAACTGAAAAAAAAGTTTAATTTTCATTTGTACAAAGTTGCATTTTAAATAGAGTATCAATTACATATGCCAACCTAGTCAATTCATTTTTATTTACAAGTTAGATAAATAAATACTATATTTCAATTATCACAAAGTTAAGGCTAAGAACTATATTTTGCATATAAATTTATTACACTGTAACACGTTACATGTTATTTATCGAGGATCAATTGGAATACTGTCACTGTAATTCGGTGACTATGTCAATTATTCTACAAATTATTTCTATATATTGAGAGCATACCATCCTAGTTACGACCAAAAGGTATTGTTTAAGACTGGTAAAAATTTATATCTAAAATAATTGAATGAGAAAACATTCCTGTGATATCATAATCAGATGCTTTATGTAATGTATAATTGTTTTGTTTATTTTTTAGTTGTTTTGTTTTTTAAGTGATTCAAAAACATTCATTTTAGCCTTATCATGAATGCAACAGCCCATATTCATTAACTTTTTGTATCTAAGGCAAGTCTTGTGCTTTTAAAAATGCGAAATTCTGTAAATTTATTCTTTGTAGACAAGCCACATGTTGTAATGTAGAAATACCAATACAAGTATATGTCAACAAAATGACATCAATGATATCTATTATGACAAAAAGAACAATTAGCCATTGAACTAAAGATTGCAAATGTTAATGAATAAGGGCCACTATCCCAATTTTTGAAAAGCTACTGTTGGAAAAAAAAAAGTCAAAATAAGGTCTAGTGACATGTGTCTAAATTCTCGCTTTCACCATTAAATAATTTATAATAATTTACAAAAGCACCAATAGCCTAATCATTTTTAAAATTTTCATCTTATGAAAAACTAAAAGCAATATTTCAAATCTTGCATTAAATCTCAATAATAGAAAATCTCAAACAGAAATGCCCATACTTATTATGAATCCATCAATTCTGCAACCAAATTTCTTCCATTCAACATCATCTACATAATAAACAAATTCTTGAATTTTTTTAGAATTCTGCAATTTTTCAGGTTTTATCTTATTTTTCGATAAAAAAAAAATCACATTTCATGGTACAAAAAAGGGGGAAAAAATATTTCCTTCAAATTTATGTCTCATGATTGCCTTCATACAAGAATTATTTCGTATATGACCTTTCACCTGCTGTTTTTGTGTAATGGATCTGTCCTTTGAATTTTTAACAATACAACAAGAGCCATGTCAACATGGCCATCCCCCGCCTAATGTGTTTGCTCATTGGAAGAATGTATATGTAGTAGAGCAGAATAATTCCATTTTAAGAGGTCTTTTGGTAATGAAAACTGATGGCTATAGTGATTACAGATTTGAAACCTATGTGAATACTGATGGCTGAAAATAACAAAGGGCAATAACTGAAAAATAATGCAGGGTAGGTTATCATCCTTGTGTGCTGCATCCCTCCTCAGTAAAATCTATCCACCTATGATGTTTCAAGTTGATACCTCAAATACTTTTTGAGAAAAAAATTGAATTGAAAAATTAAGTATGAAAAATAACAAAGGGCAATAACTCAAAAATTATAAAAGGTACAGTTATCATTCTTGTGCAGTGCACACCTCCTAAGTGAGATCTATGCACCTATGAAGTTTCATTTTGATATCTCAAAGGGTTTTTGAGTTATGCTCTGGACAAAAATTAATTTTGAAAAATAACAAAGGGCAATAACTCAAAAATAATGCAGGGCAGAGTTATCATTCTTTAGCACTGCACTCCTCCTCAATGAGATCCATCCACCTATGAAGTTTCAAGATGATACCTCAAATACTTTTTCAGATAAGCTCTGGACAAAATAGCATGAAAAAAACAACAAAGGGCAATAACTCAAAAATTGTATAGGGAAGAGTTATCATTCTTGCGCACAACATTTCTCCTCAATAAGATCTATCCTTCTATGACATTTCATGTTGATATCTCAAACACTTTTTGAGTTATGCTCCACTCAGGTGAAAAATTAGGTATGAAAAATAACAAAGGGCAATAACTCAAAAATTATGAAAGGAAGAGTTATCATTCTTGTGCACTGCACACCTCCTGAGTGAGATCTATGCACCTATGAAGTTTCATGTTAATATCTCATAGGCTTTTGGAGTTATGCTCTGGACAAAAATCAATTTTGAAAAATAACAAAGGGCAATAACTCAAAAATCATGCAAGGTAGAGTTATCATTCTTGTGCACTGCACTCCTCCTCAATGAGGTCTATCCACCTATGAAGTTTCAAGTTGATAACTCAAATACTTTTAGAGATATGCTCCGGACAAAAATTTCGGACGGAAGGACGGACGGACGGAAGGACGGAAGGTCAGACGGACGGACGGACGGAGACTATTACTATATCCTCCGCCGAAAATTTTCAGCGGGGGATAACAAGAGGGCCATGATGGCCCTGAGGTCGCTCACCTGTATATAGGCCCCCAGAGCGGGGCCAGTTTAAACCCTAGGGCTTTTGTTTTTAACAAACTTTGGAGACACCAATTAGAAGCTGTTTCATGTTAAGTTTTTACTACACACATATAATGAGAAACAATGATCTCCCTCCGCCCCCCCCCCCCCCCAATTTTAACCCAAGGGCTTTTATTTGAACAAACTTGGTAGACACCCATAAGAAGATGTTTCATGCTAAACATCTAAGCTCTAGCTCATTGGGTTTTTTAAAAGAAGATTTTTTAAGTTTTTACTATACACATATAGTTAAAAACAATGACACCCCTGGGGCGGGGCAAGTTTTGACCCCAGGGGTTTTATTTGAACAAACTTTGTAGACACTTACTAGAAGGTGTTTCATGCTTAATATCTAAACTCTAGCTATTTGGGTTTTTTCAAAGAAGATTTTTTCAGTTTTTGCTTTATACATATAAGGAAAATCAATGACCCCCAGGGCGGGGGCCAATTTTGACCCCAGGGCTTTTATTTGAACAAACTTTGTAGACACTCACTAGAAGATGTTTCATGCTTAATATCTAAACTCTAGCTATTTGGGTTTTTTCAAAGAAGATTTTTTCAGTTTTTGCTATAGACATATAAGGTAAATCAATGACCCCCTGGGGCGGGGCCAATTTTGACCCAAGGGCTTTTATTTGAACAAACTTGGTAGACACTCACTAAAAGATGTTTCATGCCAAATATCTAAGCTCTAGCTTTTAGGGTTTTTTAAAAGAAGACATTTAAAGTTTTTTCTTTTGGTTGCCATGGCAACCAGAGTTCTGCATGGAATTAAACTCTTTGAACAATTTTTAAAGGTGACAACCAAAGGAACATTCCTGTGAAGTTTTAATGAAATTGGCTTAGTGGTTTTTGAGGAGATGTCATTTAAAGCAAAAGTTTACGGACGGACGGACGCCGGACAAAAAGCGATCACAAAAGCTCACCCTGTCACTTTGTGACAGGTGAGCTAAAAAATACTACCAACATGACACAGCCTGGTCAGGCTGCACAGATGTACAAGCTGGCCTGGCTCTATACTGGTGGCAAAGGTTAATCACCTTTCAGCAGGTCAAGGGTCAAAGAATGACTATAATCAAGACATTAAGCAAAGTTTTACAAAGAAAAAATATACACTTTTTGACACTTGTAAATTCAAGCACAGTTGGTTTTTTTTGTGGTCGTTTTTTTCCCCAAACAATTTAAGCAAACCAATGTTAAAAATAAAGCTATTTGGATAAAATTTATTGCTATGACTTACTATGACATATGATTTTAATTAAAATAAACATCAAGAATAACGTTCTATTCATATCTGGTACATTATTACTCATTGTGCAAGTGATACAATGAATTTTATGATGAAATTCTGCCTATTTTAATACCATAAACATCATAAAAAGCAGAGATAAATGCATAAAGCAGGTTTAAATACAATATGAATAACCACTATAACAGCTTATAAACTGAGGATTGTTTAAAACATGAAATAACAAAATTCAATAAAAATCTTTATGTTAAAATGGTTGCAAAATATATTCTGGTAAAACAAAATCTAAAGCATTCAAATTAATAGGTGAATATGATCTAAGTATGACTGGTTTGGTTAAAAATCAATAAAACAACCCTAATTTATCATAACTAATAACCAATCAAAATGGCACAAATGGTGTTTCTTTCATTTGCTGTGATTGGCTGAACCTCGACCAATGAAAGGCTTTGATTCTGATCATGTGCTTGGTGTATTTTGAACTGTGGTAGAATAGGAATCAGGTACATCTAAAATATAAACAGCATGCATACCAATTAAAAATACACAACAAATAAATAAAATCTCAAGAATTACACATAAAAAATACACTAACAGCTCGGCCTGCCTGCAAGCCAAAAAAGCATCATAAAAAGCAATGTCTCTTTCAAACACCAATCTTGCTGTGCAAAAAAAGGGGTAAAAACGACAAGGTAACAAAGTTAAACTAATTGTAAAATCAGTTTATCAGCTATATGATATTAAATATATAGTGACTAACTCGAAACAACACTTCAAGAAACAAGCACAGACTAACATCTAAATAAGATCAATATAGAAAGAAAAATCTATACCAAATCTATTAATGGCATGACATAATGTTGCAAAATTTCATTTGATTCTTAAGATCTTGTTATTGCACACACTAGGTCTTCACTTCTGCCATTTGATGACCTATTACTTTCTTCTAAATTATGTTACTTCAGCAACAGTAAAAGCTATACTCATGGCCAGTTAAAATTTTAAGAAAATTTAGTTAAATATATAGTAGAATAAATTCAAAACTGGAATTTGGGCTAGTAAATTCAAAATCTTAAATTCATTGACTGTATACTGCAGCTTGTGAAACACAAGCCTTAACTTTAGACAAAAGCAAAAATCTACAAGCAAATTCGTTGAATTTATATCCCCCGCCGAGTACTGGTTATTATTAACACAACAACTGAAGACATAAGGCTTTATTTATATATTAATCATGGCATAAACAGTAATATTCTTTGAACTTGATAAATATTCAGGGCAATAACAGAGCCATAACTTTGTGTTAAATAGTAAAATCTGGAAATGCCAATGAGATGTATGCATACTACATAACTAATTAAGGGCCATAAATCTGAGTTATAAGTATCTGACTGGAACAAGGCGACTATATGCACATCTCCTCTTAGTTTCCCATAAAGTTTCATTGAATTCCAGCCAGTAGTAGCAGAGAAGTAGCGAGGAAACAAATATTTTTCTATATGGATACTGCATAACTAATCAAGGGCCATAACTCTGAGTTAAAGTGTCTGACCGGAACAAGCTGACGATATGCGCATCTCCTCTTGGTATTGAAGGTTCCCATAAAGTTTCGTTGAATTCCAGCATGTAGTTGCAGAGAAGTAGTGCGGAAACGATTTTTACTCTATATGCATACTACATAACTAATCAAGGGCCATAACTCTGAGTTAAAGGGTCTGACCGGAACAAGCCGACGATATGCGCATCTCCTCTTGATAGTGATGATTCCCATAAAGTTTCGTTGAATTCCAGCCAGTAGTTGCAGAGAACTACTCCGGAAACGATTTTTACTCCATATGCATATTGCATAACTAATAAAGGGCCATAACTCTGAGTTAAAGTGTCTGACCCAAACAAGCCGACGATATGCGCATCTCCTCTTGGTATTGAAGGTTCCCATAAAGTTTCTTTGAATTCCAGCCAGTAGGTGCAGAGAAGTAGTGCGGAAACGATTTTTACTCCATATGCATAAAGCATAACTAATCAAGGGCCATAAGTCTCAGTTAAAGGGTCTGACCGGAACAAGCCGACGATACGCGCATCTCCTCTTGGTATTGATGATTCCCATAAAGTTTTGTTGAATTCCAGCCAGTAGTTGCAGAGAACTACTCCGGAAACGATTTTTACTCTAAATGCATACTACATAACTAATCAAGGGCCATAACTCTGAGTTAAAGTGTCTGACCGGAACAAGCGGACGATATGCGCATCTCCTCTTGATATTGATGATTCCCATAAAGTTTCGTTGAATTCCAGCCAGTAGTTGCAGAGAACTACTCCGGAAACGATTTTTACTCTATATGCATACTACATAACTAATCAAGGGCCATAACTCTGAGTTAAAGGGTCGGACCGGAACAAGCCGACAATATGCGCATCTCCTCTTGATATTGATGATTCCCATAAAGTTTCGTTGAATTCCAGCCAGTAGTTGCAGAGAACTACTCCGGAAACGAAATTCGGACGGAGGGATGGACAACGCCAAAACTATATACCCCTCCCGATTCCATAAAACTATATACCCCTCCCGATTCCATCGGCGGGGGATAATAAGCCTCACCCCTATGTGGGGAAATTAAAATACTAATGTATTTGTACAGATTCAAACTTTAAGGCTAGAGCCTTTATACTACACGACCTGTGTAAAATGGACTGGTAACTTTTGTTCTGCACAGCTTGCTGCAAGTTCTTTCAACATCAAAATAGAGAATATTGAATGAGTGAAAGTTCAATACTGAATTTATAGAACTTGTTGAATAAAATAATATTATACTCGCCAGTCATGCTCATATTATTATTCAATTAACAAGTTCAATAAATTTATTATTAAACCTACACAAATACATGTATAATATTCTATTTATCACATACCAAAAATAAAAACTGATAAAAGTGAAAAATAATCATTTTTCATTGACAAGCCTTTAGTGTAACGACAACATTTAGTGCGTTTTTAAGCTACATTGTATGTTTATAGAACTCAAATGACATTGCGTCAAAATATATGCACGGCCGCGCAATAACGTTTTTACTAAATTGCAAAAGTGGTACGGGTGTGTGATAAAACCTATTAGAAAGCTGTATAGATACTGATCAGAATGCACAAGCATGTAAGCAGGCCTGACTAGATAGTGGTGGCAAAGACAAGCTATGATCACTTCTAACACTGCAAGAGTTAAGTCCCTCTAAAATGGAATTGTTCTGTATTACTATGTTATATTAAATGATGAAAAAATCCATAACATATCTATCAAGTATTGAATGCTTTCTGTAAAAGTATCTCTTATTTAAGTTCATTAAAGCTTCTATAAATCAGGAACAATTAACTACCTAAAGCTGAAGACTTTCATTTTGTGTAGCAAGCTTTTTAAAAGTTGTTCTTGTTGTTTTTTTTAAAATGAGTACAAGACAAATGTACATTTGAACACAACAGCAAGAACAGTGGAAACACTAATATAAATGAAATGTTAAGCTCACAATATCTAAAACAGAATTTACATAAAAACACAAAATTAAAAGCTCCGGAAGGTACTTTTTTTCAGATTTGAAAGCTGTATCAAGTGTCAATTTCATCACCTCATTTCATAACTGTATTACTGTTTAAGAGGAATAAATTTCTTCATCCAAGGTTTTCTGATATATTGCTTGAAGAAAATAAACATGTGATCTACAATGAATTTAACCATATACATGATTGTGCTGACAAGAACTTTGGTACCAATTTATGTAACCTATATAGATACCTCTACTTAATAAGACTTGGTAAAAACATAAAATGCCCTGAATTTATTCCTATAATTTGGCTATAAATGTGTACAAAGAAATACTAAACAATATATTCTTTCAAAAATGTTACAATATCTGTTGCCATTTTCTGAAATAAGCATAGATGCATGCATAGCAATATATAGAAAATATTCTGTTGTATGCTAAAAATATTTTACAGAAATGATTAATTTCCTAAAAAATTTCATGATTATCAAAAATACAGCAATTTATTAATTGCACATTTCGCACCAAATGAAATTTAGATTATATTTTGAGTTTTTTGTCTCTAAAAATGAATTTGTAAATATCAATTAGAGTTTAACAAACAACTGTAACAATGTACATTAACTGACTTATCACTGCATAAATGTATAATGTAAACAATACTATCAAGTGATGATAGGTTTTAATGAAAACAACATTATCCTATGATGATAAGGTTAAAATGTAAACTATATTATCACATGATAATGTGTTTTAATGTAAACAATATTATCACGTGATGATAGGTTACAATGTAAACAATATTATCACATGATGAATGGGTTATAATGTAAACAATATTATAACGTTATAATGGGTTTTAATGTAAACAATATTATCATGTGATAATGGGTTTTAATGTAAACAATATTATCATGTGATAATAGGTTTTAATGTAAAAAATATTTTCATGTGATAATGGGTTATAATGTTAACAATATTATCACGTGATAATGGGTTTTAATGTAAAAAATATTATCATGTGATAATGGGTTATAATGTAAACAATATTATCATGTGATAATAGGTTACAATGTTAACATTACCGAATGAAAATGGGTTTTAATGGAAACAACATTATCACGTGATAATAGGTTACAATGTCAACATAATCACATGATAATGGGTTTTAATGTAAACAATATTATCACATGATAATAGGTTATAATGTAAACAATATTATCACATGATAATAGGTTATAATGTAAACAATATTATCACGTGATGATGAGTTATCACATCAATGATCATGACAATAACACAGATCAGAATGTACATGAGTGTGGGGAACACTACCTCGTGGAGTCAGCGGAGACGACGCAGGCATACCCATTCTCGGCATCTCACAACATTCACATTTATTCAAGGCCGGATGATTGAGGAGTGTACACGCCGAGCAATTCCACATTTCACCTTCAGCATCGGAATCACCAGAATTGATTGTGGGTTGGTGTGGTGGTGGGGGTGGAACCTGTGTTGCTGCTATACGTGGGGGCAATGGGGGCGGTACTGTAAATATTAAAGAACAAAAAATAATATAAACATGTTTATTTACAGTAACACAAATATTTACGTATATAAAAAAAATTAATAATGGTGTATCTTCAAAACACATGATTTCATCTTCTACTAAAATACATTTAAAAACATGTCTATAAAATATAAACTATCTATAATCATTACTTAAAAACCATTTCAAAATTATATCAACTATATGACCGTATCTAACTTTCTACATATTTATTGTCACTCTTCATAATACAACTTTCAACCTGCTTATTTGAAAAATGGATTTGCCCTGCCTTGAATTTGGAACAGTCCATTTGAAATTTGTGTGGGATTTCAGTATAAAAATACAATAAACTGAGCTTCCAACAGTATACTAACAGGTCAGACTGTATGGATGTGCAAACTGGCCTGGTACTATACTGGTAGCAAAGACTAATCACTTTCTGTTCCAACAGGTTAAGAGTTCAGTAGTATAATCATGACAATGTAACTACATGCGTTGAATTCATTCCCACATACTGACTGTCAAATTTTTCAAAAGAAAATATCTTTCTTTCAACTACAGCACCCAAAAACAAGTCTGTTCAAAGTAATTTAAATACCAACCCAATTATAAAAGCAATGAGGTACAAATTATCAAATGTGATTGTCACAAAATGAAAGAATTTTTAATTTTTCAATAGGATCAGACTTTAGTACTACTACAACATTGTTAATGTCTAAATAATGCAACAATCAATAAACACTTTCAAATGTGATAGTAACTGTATGGTTGATTTTTTGTTTAAATGTACTTATGAGTATTTTCTATTAAGTTCCATAGACCGTAAAAGCAAATTTTACAATTCCGAACAAAATCTCCCAACAAAATAGATTCTAACAACTAACAAACAAGAGCTATCAAGCTGACAGTGTGCTGAACTATTCTTTGAACTTGATAGTAAAACAACAACCATGCTGGAAGTTTTCTAATTCTAATAGTATGGCTCTGAATGAAGTTTTAAGTAATATAATACTTTTAAATTGTGTGTAGATAGAACTATCGCCAGGACATTTCATAATTCACAAAGAGGTACAACTCTGTCAAATTCAGTTTTAGAGTTATGGGCATTTGGTCAGCAATCAAAAAGATACGTGAAATTTCTCCTGTCTCAAGTTGGAGGAATGATGGTGAACAAGTGTGCAAAGTTTCAAAACCATATGTCAATGGGCTTTGAAAATATTTGAGATGGTACGCAAACTTTAACGTATATTCTAAGTCAATAAAAAATGCTTGATAGATGTACCTCCTTCTGTCTACAGGTTGGGAGCATGATGGTGAAGAATTGTGCAAAGTTTCAAAGCCATATGTCAATGGAATTTGATAATATTTCAGGTGGTACAAAAACTTTGACATAAGTGATTACGCCAACACAGACGCTCGGTTGACTAGGATAGCTGATCACAGCCCAACTTATTCTTATTGAAAAATCGAGCTAAAAAGGTGTAGCATTTGGACAATTGCTTGTTTGTCTATTTTTTACACCAATTTTAACACATTCAGTCAACATCTATGCTAGAGTTGTCGGTCATGTTCAGAAAAATATGATTATACTATAAAAACATGTGTGAAGTTTTACATATATACCTTAATGGTAAATGAAAAATTATGAGGTTAACAAAACCATAACTATGTGTTACATCAAAACTTGTCAAGCTGAACTAAACTCTGCCATAACTTGTCAAACAGAAAATCAAAATACAGTAAGTTCTAGGGGAAAGTGCCATCATTTTATATTATTGGCATGATTGCAATTCAAGCATTCTATATTTAGTTTAAACAAAGCAGAAATAAATCAATAAAACAAACAGATATATATATGTCAATGGAAAAAGAGTAGTACATATAGGGGGAAAAAGCATCAAAGACAATTTTTAAAAATTGTAGGGGGTAAAAAAAAAGAAATTATAGTTTCTGTGGGTGATTATTAATGTAAGTTACCATAGTGAAGTCCTAATAAAAAGAAAACAATCTTCATAAATCCAAAGAAAGTAGACATACAATATGAATCAGTGACTTGCTTTAAGATTATCATAAAATTCTTGAACGTTATTAGTCATAATTATACAAGTGAAGGATTCATTAAAGCTTAAATTTTATATGAATTAACGGTAAGGAATACAGAACATATTATTTTAAAGATCAAAAAGGAAGACATGCAACTTGTGATTTTTGTGTAGTAAAAACACATAGGGATTAAACGATGATCGAGTATAATCGAAAATTGATCGGTTATAGAACCGATCGGCGATGATCGATTACAAAGTTTAATAATCGATTATCGGTAATTCATTTTCTTGCTGTTACTTAAGTGACTCACTGTATTATAACAACACTCTAATTTATTGAAACAATAATTTTCATTCAAATGAATATGAAAGCATACAATGGAGTTAATAGTTGACAGTGAGGCATGCTAGTTTAAAGGTATACAATGCTCAAATTTTGACATTAGAAAATATTTAAAATTGCTAGACAGTATATATTTGAATATAAAATAAACATGTTTTGACTTCACACAAAGAAGATATGTTTAATATGTATAATATGTAATATTATATACATAATATGTATAAAACTATTCTACATTGCAGATATAGTGTCATTAAAAAAACTGGCAGTTTTGTTAAGAAAGGACCAGCTTAACTTGTTCCCATGTACATAGTTTATTCATTCCTTTTTTGGAAGTGAGACATAATAATTTCATAGATTTTAATGAATTTATTTGATTAAAATATTTTACTCAAGGATGAGCATAGTATATTTTTAAACTAATTTATTTCAGTTGATAAAGTGGTGGTTACATGGAAATGGAATTCTTATAAATATTAAAGCATGATATGTACATTGTACATATTTACTTTGTTATTGTAAATGTTTCGATTATATAATCGATGATTGATCGAAAAGGGTTGTTCGATTATTTTCGATGATCGATTATGATTTTTGTCCGATTAAGAAACCCTAAAAACACACACAAAATAATTTTTTTATAAAAATAAATGTCATTATCATACCTTCACGAGGCTGTGGATCTCTGGGCGGGAGCTCTGGAGGGATTTCTGGCGGAGGTCTTGTAGGGGTACTCTTATGAGGCACATGCGATGCCCCTCCATATATAGAACCACTCGGCCCCATATTGATGGTCTTGTAAAAATTCTGTTGTTCTAGTGGATCAAGTACTCCTAAAGGAGCTGAAGCATAAAATAACTGACATAAACATATGAGAACATGATTTATTAAGTATGCTTTTTTCCTAAATCCACTCACTGTTAATGTCTCATTCTGACTGCAAACTTTTATTGGCAAAGGTCCTTGTCTATGTGTTATTTATGGGTGAAACCAGAAACTTTCATATTTCAGTTCGACAGTATTTGCCTAATTTACAACATCTTCTCATAATGTTGATGTACTACAAGGTAGAACTTAGTTAGTCTAACTATCATAAATATAATTATTCTGGCTACCCTTTCCTGACAAGATGAAGATCTCGAATCACCTACACAGGTTATACTGAAAGAAACACACACTGTTGGTAAGCTTCTACTGAAATTGTGTGAATACCCATATGTGCACAGTGTGTTAACACGAGTGCAGGTATTAGTTACCCACCTCCACTTACTGCACTGTCTGTTAGGGATAAAAATATAGCATGCTCATTGATTGGCTTATTTTTTCTGGGTTTTACTAATTGTGACGAGAAAGAAAGAGATGATAGAAAATTCATGTACAGATGCTTGTACATTGGTTCCTTTTTTCAGGATTTCATACTATGACAACAGGTAACATGTTTTATTCTTGTTTATGATAAAAAGAAAGAATATCAAAATAAAGAAATCTGATTTATACTCGTACAAATCCATTATCCTAGTATTTCGAGGCACCTTCTATCACTTAGAATGCTGAACAGTTATATTCTTTGTATTTATTAGAAAATGTTTCATAAATTTACAGCATCAATAATTGTCTCGATTATCCAATGAAAATCTCTGTTATAAACAAGCAACATACTATAAAACTTTATAAAGATTAAGATAGGTCGATTGTGTAGGTCGATATTTAATGAGGAACTTACTTTGACCATTATTCATGAGATCAACCTCCCGAGTCATTAACTGGATATCTGCCTGTAGCTGTAGATTGTCTCCCTTTAATTTAGCTAAATCTACAGACTGAAAAAAGACATAACTTATATAACAAGTTGTCACTTTTGTCTCCACAAATATAATTCAAGTGACAGAATATTACAAATATACTGGTCAGTTTAAATATTACAATAATATTGAACTTAAATATTGCAATGTTTTATTTTAGTTTATACAAATTTATTAAAGTTTGATTGTGTTGGAAACTAAATGCTTATTGAAACACTCTCGAATCCCTTCCTGGAAACAACAGCTTGCCCCGGACGCAGTTTGAATCCACCATTTGACAGTACACAGACATAACAATAATTACTTATTCATAATTCACTTTCATACCTGTTTAAATGATTTCAGTAAAAAACATAATTATTCTGTTCATACAATTATGACAGATCTTATTTATAAATGCCAACTGCAGGAATTCCTTTTCCTCATCACTGCTATATGTCCATTATGTAACATCAGCAAATTCATAGACATGGACACCTGTTTCTGTAACTGTATTTATGTTTTAGGTGAATTTTTATAATTTTTACACATTTTAATCATTATTCAGAAATATTAGATTTTTTTTTAAAGTCCATTATTGATTGACAGAAATATATCAATGATACATCAATATTGTTTCTATCAATGACACCTTTATGTCAATTTGTACACAAAATAAAGTTTTGATATCAAGTATACCTTCTCTTATAAACAAAGACTTACAGATGGAAAGACAGATGATTTCTGTCGTTTTCTTTCTATCACACGACTTTCTAATGTTGTCACCTCCCCTCTTAATTGAGCCAATCTTTCTTCAGCCAATTTTAAATCATCCACAAGCTTATCCATCCGGGACTTTTGATGAGACAATAATGCTAGAAATATGAGAACATTGAATGAAAATTATCATAATACAAATGTACACAACATGATACACCTTTATACTAAAAATCTTTATAAAACATACACAATAAATATACTTGACATTCTTTCCTTGCTTACTGACTTGACTACAACATATAATGATGTGCACAAAAAGTGTTGCTTTATCATTAAAAAATATTATTAAATTATACTTAAATCATTACAGGCATTTTTACAATTCTATTCATGTGTATTTTGATTTTCATACAAGCATTACAAAGATAAACTTCAATATGATATAACTTTCAAAATTTTTTAAGCATTTACAGATTAGTATTACAAGTAAATATCTAAAACATTCTTAAGCAGGTGATGGATATAGGACAAATGCTTGCCAAACAAAACTAAAAATGAATAATAGTTAACAGATAACTCGTGATATAGTAAACATACCTTGAAGATAGGCAGGGTCATCCTGAACACTACCCGATCGTTGTCTATCTCGTGCCACTGACGATTCTGAACTAAGGCTACTTGGACTAGATGCTGGTGACATGAAGGGTTGTGTGGGTATGTGACGATAATCCATATCAGAAATAAACACTGAATTATTATCTAAACTAGCACTCTTTTGTATTGGGCCATGTGGATGGCCAGGTACTCGGCACTCATTTGGCATATGTGGAAATTTAAGAAATCCACCATCGTCTCGACTAGTGCCAGGCCCTTGAAAGTTTATCACAGTTGGACGCTCTGGTGTATAATGTCTGTTCACATAATTTGGCTGCGATTCCGGCAAGGGATTTTCATTTGACTGGGTGTATTGACCCAGCATCATATTCTTATGAACAGTTTGTGGGCTTACACCGCCCGGATTGGAATTTGGAGGTCCAGAAAATTTGTTAAAGAATTGAATATGGGATTGCACACCTGGAGCCCTTGGCGGGGGTTTTATTATCTCAACTAAAACAGGTCCAGTTATATTTTGAGGGTTAGGTTGGGAATCGTTCATAGAAGGGTTACGTACATTAGGAGATAAACTAGGGTCACTATAAGATCCATGAATATTAGCATCATTCTGGCCACCTGGTGACACTAACGGTCTTTCACCATGAGGCACCGTGTTCTGTGTATTTGGACTTGCCGTGGGATTTTGAAGAAAGATCATCGCCTGAGAAGAATGTTGTGATTCATACTGCTGCTGTCCATAACCACCAAAACTTCGCTGCTCCTCTATTGGTGACCTATACGGAGAGGTCACGGTCGGCGTGTGATTATTATTATACTGCTGATGTGAAATAGGCGAGGAACGATGATCCGGTGAAAATGCTGTATTCTGATTGGCTGTGTATGTCACTTTATGATAGGGGTTATTATAATGCACAGGATGTTGAACCCAGCCTCGATTTGAATTCATTTGATGTGACGAGTTATTTGCAGTCACATGACCAGTCACAACGCTGGGATTAGAAGCTATTCGAATTTGAAAATAATTTGGATGTTGATTAACAACACTATGTTCTCTGCTAGTCTGAATATGCTGAACTTCAATTTGACGTAAATTTTGTTGTGATGTATTTACACCAGCAGGAATCCCTGAGGGGTTTTGTACATATCCTCCACTATATTGAATCTGTCTGTTTCCATATGGCTGAACACCTTGTAAATTGTTACAACTAATATTTGGAATTTCAGCAGTATTTTGATCACTCCTATACATATCCATGAATTGATTAATTTCATTTGGCAATATCGGAGCTGTTGGAGGGTGGTTATCGTCAGTGCCTATGATTGGTCCACGATACCCAGGTACATTCATAAGACTGTGACTCGAAGTTAACGGTGGTCTAGAAGAGGCACTGCTTGAGCTCGTGTTACTCATGTTGCTGCCAGATGAGTCACTTCGTGGTCTCGGTTCACCAAGGTTTAATTCATTTATCCGTTCATTTACTTGGCAGTTTTGATTGCCAAATAAATATTTTGGACTTTCATTGGTTAACATTTCGATACATCTTTCTCTATCATTACAAAACTGAAAAAGAAGTAATAAGAAAATTTAGTTATTGTCTGAATAAATATAAATACAGTCTAAATCTCAGTTTTCTGGAAGAACTAAAAGTAAGGAAACTAGATTACTTAAAACTGTATACATGTATTTTTAAGAGTGATTTTTTCACCTTGTATTACAGAGGTCTATAGAAGGCCTCTTCCCAATAAAAATTTTCTTTAAATTCTTACAATACAGTTCTTCCAAAAATCCAAACTTTCACCAGCTGATTTACTTTTCAAATAAGCAATTTCAACATAAAGTGAGAAACAACTGTATAATGACAACTAAAATACAGTAATGTAAGTTCGAATATAGAAATCAACTCCAGTTTCAGTTTAAAAATGTAATTATTTTATTTGAAAAATATACAGCGTTTCGACTCAAAAGTCTTCATCAGGTATACTTAAATACAGCTAATTTAATATTGAAGTAAATTATGTTAGTATTCAATATTATTTCAGCTAAATTGTGAAGAAACCTTATAGCTTATAAGGACCACTCTTGGTGAAACAGTAACAGTGTCATATATGAAGAGACATGGTTGTGAACAAGAGCTGTCGGTAGGACAGCAACGCTCGACTATTCTTAGTGCTTGATAGTAAAAAAAATGCCTGATACAGTTACCTCCTCCTGTTTACAGGTTTGGGGTCATGATGGTGAACAAGTGTGCAAAGTTTCAAAGCCATATGTCAATGGACTTTGAAAATATTTGAACTATTACAAAAACTTTAACATAAATTCTAAGTCAAACAGAAGGCTGTCAGTAGGACAGCAACGCTCGACTATTTTTAGTGCTTGATAGTAAAAAAATGCTTGATACAGTTACCTCCTCCTGTTTACAGGTTGGGGTCATGATGGTGAACAAGTGTGCAAAGTTTCAAAGCCATATGTCAATGGACTTTGAAAATATTTGAACTATTACAAAAACTTTAACGTTAATTCTAAGTCGAAAAAGGGGCATAATTCTATCAAAATGCTTGATAGAGTTACCTCCTCCTGTCTACAGGTTGGGGTCATGATGGTGAACAAGTGTGCAAAGTTTCAAAGCCATATGTCTATGGACTTTGAAAATATTTGAACTATTACAAAAACTTTAACATAAGTGGTTACGCCGACGCTCGGGTGACTGCAATAGCTCTACTTATTCTTATCGAATAGTCGAGCTAAAAAGGGGCATAATTCTGTCAAAATGCTTGATAGAGTTACCTCCTCCTGTTTAAAGGTTGGGGTCATGATGTTGAACAAGTGTGCACAGTTTCAAAGCCATATGTCAATGGACTTTGAAAATATTTAAACTATTACAAAAACTTTAACGTAAATTCTAAGTCGAAAAAGGGGCATAATTCTGTCAAAATGCTTGATAGAGTTACCTCCTCCTGTCTACAGGTTGGGGTCATGATGGTGAACAAGTGTGCAAAGTTTCAAAGCCATATGTCAATGGACTTTGAAAATATTTGAACTATTTCAAAAACTTTAACATAAGTGGTTACGCCGACGCTCGGGTGACTGCAATAGCTCTACTTATTCTTATCAAATAGTCAAGCTAACAAAGTAGGGTTGACACAAATGATCTCTAGGTATGAGACCTTGACACCTTGACTTCATGTACTAGACCCCACTTAAAATTGATTTTTTTCTTTTAGGGTAGTATGTTAATACTGAAAATTGAAGTTGTCACGGATACAATATATATCTGTAGCTTTTATAAAAGATACAACTTTTAAGAGTCTTTATTATTTTTTATATGATATTCTGTATCATAGATCCACTCTGCTTTAAGGCAACTGACGGTCAGAAACTAGAAACACTTTACTACTAAAGTTTATCAAAACACCCACCATTCACCTATCCCTTTCCTATTTTGAATTTTTTGAGGTAAGTTATATGTCCTTTAATAGTACAAGATAAAAATATGGTATACAAATCCATGCATAGTGAATGATCCTATAAAAAGCAGAATAGTGTCATAACAAATACCTGAGTCATATATTGTGTTACAACGACATCGGGAACTTCAGGGAACCGATTTTTTAACTCCCAAAATAGGCTTACATCTGCCATATCTAATGAAATTCATCTTTTCTTTAAACTGAAAAAATAAAATACATAATCAAGTTTAATAATTCTCCATTAGGAGTATTTACACAAACCTAAAACAAAAATTTGGCTTAATTAAAATTCATGAATTTCCTCCTTTTTTTTTACATAAAATGTAAATATGCAAACATAATACATTAACTCCTTCAAAGGCTTACAATAATATCTTCCATTCTTTTACTTATTTATCTTTTTCCACTCAATTTTAAGGTCCATTTCTTTTTCTTGGTCATACAAATATACAATGTACTAACGAAAAGACTCAAAATTTTCTTTTTGAATATTTTCTGACACAAGCAACAACAAATAATCCTTTATCTTCACAAAATGTGTTTATCTTTTAATAAAAACAACTTAACTTTGATTTTTTTTCAAATTAAAATCCTAAGGCTAAATTCACCATAGATATAAAAACATGAAACAAGAATGAACATAAAATAACTTCCTTATTTAACAAAGGAAGTTTTGGTTTCAACTTTTGTAAATAATAAATAATCTATCATTATTTTCTCTGAAAAACAACAATAACACAATTTAAACAACACCATAATACAAGGTGAAATATTGGAATGGGAAATGAATCATCCATAAAATTATCAAGGTCAATCATGTACAAGATAAACACATGATCCTTACGAAAATATCACAACTGCACCCACTAAATGTCATACTTATAATGTTCACATTAAATTTTAGGGAATTCCCCATTTCTAAAAATAGAAGATCAAATTTAAAAATAGTTCAATAGAGCAACATAATGATCACTTTGAATGATGACTTAAATTGGGAGACTTGTCTTGGTGCAGATATTAATTATTATCTTAAATTTTAATGCATTTTTGAAGTAAAACAATTGCACAATAAATAAAGATATTTACATGTACATTAAACTCTGCTTATAATCATATTCAGGGGTCTGCCAAATTTATATTATTATATCCAGACATTGTCATTATATATCAGAGAGGCAACCAATTTAAAAACAAGTGTCGGGGGACTACAGTAACAGCATTGTTATAAGCGGAATATTGTGAAAAGTGATTTAGTGGAGTTTATAGTGGTATACACGTACATGTACTAAAATAAAAGTCATGTTGAAAAATGCAATTTCCTTTCAGGTTTTGTGATTTTAAATATCTTATACTCACAGAAATTTGCAACTTTGCAAATTCTAAAAAATGTCACATTATAACCTGTATATTTTTTTCCCCAACCTGATATTTTTGTTATGTTTTATTCACAGTTGCTGTTTATTTTTACTTCTTAAATATTTCAGGAATACAAGAGAATACTTTGTAACTTAAGATTTTAGAAATTAATGCATATGAGCCGTGTCATGACAAAACCAACATAATGGGTTTGCGACCAGCATGGATCCAGACCAGCCTGCGCATCCGCGCAGTCTGATCAGGATCCATGCTGTTCGCTATCAGTTTCTCTACTTGTAAAAGATTGGGAAAAAGCAAACAGCATGGACCCCTGATCAGATCGCGGGGATGCACAGGCGTCGGGTTTCATGCTGGTCGCAAACGCTTTAAAACGTTGGTTTTTTTAAAATTCCCCGGTTTCATTTTTAAAAATTTCCAAATTAAATTTCTAAAATGTTTAGTCTTCAAGAATTTGCCCACACTAACTTAAAACTAAAATATGTCAATATCAAGGTTATTTACGGAAGTCATTGAAGTTGGGTAATTGTGATAGAATATGGAATGTTTAGATTACATTTTATGTTAGAAAAACAGATTAATGCAGTTTTACAAATTCTAAAATTGGTTATATTAACATAAAATGGTGCATTCTGGTATGTTTTTCTAGCATTTTAACACTCAAATATTTTTTCATATTAACAAACACAAAACATATGCAATTAATAAAAAATAGATTCATATCCAGTCAGTGTTGTCCCAATCTTCCAAATTTATTTCAATCAGAATTAATTGATCTGCCTGATTCAGTATTGGGTGGAATGTGTACTTAAAACAAAGAAAACCAAGATGCTGATAGTATAGGAGAGTATTAAGTCCATAAAGATTATGTTAAATTTCATAGACTTCTGAGAATGAAGTAAGCATAAAGTATCTGGGATCGAAAATTCCACTTGTCCACTTGTATTTATGAGTAGACATTGGGACTGGACAAAATACAAAAAACGTTTTCCCCGCTAGTCCGCAAAGGGCAATTTTGGGAAATTTTCCAATATAAAAAGAAAGCCTAGAATTTTTAAAACAAATTGTTTTACCCTTTAATGATGGAAAAAACCAAAAAAAAAACTTTTTGTTAAATTATGTTAACTTGGGGGGGACTTTACAAAACTCTCAAAACCCTTGTTAAATTTGGGACAAATCTGACTATGCCCCCAAAAAAGTGCATGAAATTTTTATAACCCAAAAACACAAGCTTTTTTTTCTGTTTTTTTTCCCCTTTTAAAAAATGTAAAGAAAGATTATAATAATTTTGAGCTGTCTTTTGCATCTATGGCATTTCTTAACTTGTCCGTATGATATCAATATAGTAAATTCTTGAAAATTTTCACTTGTCTGTACAAGCTATGGGACAACCTAGGGAATACAGAAAATTTATTTTGCAGCCCCTATTTAAGTATTTCAAATGTTAAAAAAAATAGAACTGATCATTTTGATAAACACATTAATAATTACTTGGAAAATACTGATAAAGTTCTTAGAGATTTCATATGAACATTTATATTATTAGTTATAAAGATTTTTGACCTTATATATATGCAGCCGTGTATTTAAAACTATATAGATGTCATGATTATCAAATGAAAAGCAACATTACAAACATGCAGTATTATAAGATATATGATAATATTTTGCTCAAGAACAATTTATTTTCTGCTATATAAATATATGATATTATTACTAATATCGGATAATGTATCTCACACTTGCAAACAACATATATGCACCCAATACCCACATTCTGTAAATTTATACATTTTTAAATCTGTAATTTAACAGACTTGAATATGATAAAGTTTGAAACTTTTGTTAAAATTAAACAAATGCAGGTTTAAATAAATAAAGTTTATGTAAATATCGCATCATCATGTCAGAACATTTTTATGGAGTTCTAGTTAATTCCTACTTCTTGAATTATCAGGGTTTCTAATATTATCAGGGCACACACAACTGCAGTGTTGCACCTAGAATTTCAAAATTATGGGAATTTGTGCCCCACTCAACTGAAAAATGTGGGGGATTTGAAAAAATGTGGGGACATACATTTACCTTACGATATGACATACCGAAAAGAATTAATATATTTTATGTTTAGACATTTTTGACAGCTATTGTCAGCGCAACAGAAATAGAAAAAATAAAATATTGATGAATACTACAATAACAGGGCTCATCCGGAAGGGCGATTCAGGTGAAAACTTCGCCGTGTATATTCCAATTTCGCTCTTCCGATTGATCAAAGAGAAGTCAACATCGCCGATAAAATCTTAATTCCCAAATAGTAATTACTTAGCGATGTAAAGAGCAGAGATTGTATCCGCTTATATGACGACCGCTAATTATCATTATCCAATCAGAGCGTCGCTTTATACTACCCTTCTACCTGTAAGCGAAGCGATAGACCGCCTACTCTAAACAGTAAATAATGAGAGCATCGGCCCGAAACGGTATAATTGTGTGATAGTTTTGCGAGTTTAATACGGGATTTGGCGATAATTATAAATTGTTTTTTCCCCGATTATCTAAACAAGTGCAATCTTCCCTAATTGATATACACGATGCACTTCGATGGTGGGTTTTTAACCCTAGTAAAGGCGATGTGCAATGGATTTTTCACGGCTATCACAAAACTGTTAGTCAATTAAAAATAATCAATTTCATTACTGATCAGCGACCAGATTAAAAACTTAATCATAGTATTTAATGATTTCAGTCTGTTAACATCAATTTTTACTGTAAAATTGTTATGTCGCTCACGTCATGGCTACAAGGCGAAATGCCGAAACCGAGCAGTAAGAAAGTTACTGATTTTGATAGTTACACCTACGCGAAAATTTAAGAAAGCCAATTCGCAAAAATCTTGCGATTGGTATGTTGTAGACAGTAGGGGTGTTTGGCATTGTTCTCTTTGTAGAAATGCCAAATTTGACACAGTTTACGCACGTGGGCAAGACATCCCGGCGTAACTACATATCGGTCGTATATCATGTAACGTGTATATAACAACAACATTTGTCTGGAAAGAAGTGTTCTTATTGTTTCAAAATAAATTCGTAAATATGACGCTCAGATTAAGATTTATCAATATTGTAAATTTTAAAAAGCATTATTTATAAAGATATTACCGAATTTAACATTTCATGAAAATAAAGGGAGGTAATTAGAAATTAATTTTCTACAATTTCTCAGTCAAATTTTTCATTAAGAAATCAATGTATGTAATTTTAGTGATCAAATATGCACAAATGTTTGCAGTACATATTTTACATATTCTTTGATGTTTGAAAATTTTTTTATAAGCATAATCAGGACTGGGAATCAAAACTGCGTCGTATCCTACAAAATGTAAACAAACGCCGCCATCTTGGAACGAAAAACGTATGTTTTTGTTTATAACTTTTTTTGTTGGAAATGACTGAAAACCAGCAATATGTATTAACACGCTACACTATTTTCCGCTTCGTTCGGTATATGTTGCTTGCACAACTATTTTGTAAAACAAAAGTTATAGCGAACTTACATCTCGAAGCGGGGCAGATTTTTTATGAAAATGTGTGGATACGACGCAGTTCATATTGCTTTATCTATCGTTTTTTCCTTCAAATCAATTATATATTTGTTTCAAAGTTCACCATAAACATCGAAATATAATTTTGCACCATTTACTAAAATTTCATTAAAAAGAGATGTTTATTTTCTTAGAAAATAATGATTTTTACGAAATGATACGACGCAGTTGGAAATAAAATATGATACGACGCAGTTGTATTTTTGCCAGTCTTTTCAACAAGGATAATTTTGGCAAAATATTTCTATTTTATGGAATAATCACTTGCGCTAGATAAAAACCCCAGATCATTTGCGGTGTATAGCAATGTTCTGTTGCTTTTGATTATTTAGAATACATTTTGTCATGTCCAATATAACATTTAATTTGAAAGTTTACATTGCGGAAGCTACTTCTCAGTTAAACATGTTACCTAATTGATCATAATATCTGAAATAATTTCTTATATTTTCCTGTATGTTCAATATTATCCCTAATTTTTTCACAAAAAAAATATAGAAATCTATTAATTTGAATTCATGTTGGCTAGCTACGCTCTAAGTTAACTGTGGTTCTGCATGTTCTGGGTAATGACTGCTTTTTTGTGGTTTGTTTTCAAACTTTCACTCTACACATTAGCTTTACTAGGGACAAGGACCTCAGGTGCGCCTTTGTGCATTATTTCAGACAAAATGTTGCACCTGCAGAGAACCATCGACATTTTGAAACTAGTTTGATAGGTTTTCCACACGAAAGAATAAAAAGTCCCTGGTGGTTTTCGAAATCATAGCAGTTCAGTTCAGTTCAAGTGATTTGAATTCAGTAAACATAAACAGCTCGGCCACGGTCGGACACACCTGTCTGATTTGTTTTTTCAGCAAAATTTGTTAACGTCAGCTGTACAAATAAGCAGCTTTTTTTATTTACTTCTGGCGTGAAGTTATAAGATTATAAATATTTGAATTAATTATAAAGAGAATAACATTTAAATTTCTTATTTCGGTATGACTAGCAGAGAAATTTTCAATGTAAACAGGGGGTAATCCTCTGTGAAGTCATTTTCTGAAAACCTTTGTTTAAGTTTTCAGGCAATTCATTATCAAATAAAAATCACACTTTAGTATGAAGGTATGTTAAGATGCCATGTCTCTAGTCTGTTGAAAATTCGATGCGATAATCTGCCCTTAATTTTCTGTTCAATAATGTGAAAACTTCTTCAATACTGTTGAAAGATCATGTCTGCCTATATCTGTATCAAATTTATCGGTACACAGCGTAAAATACCTTTGCAAAACGGACACCTTCTTCACAAAATAATCTGTAGTTGTATCATATGAAACTCGATTTTGAAAATTTAAAGTTTTTTAATGGAAAAGAATGATACTTAAGTGCAAATATAGAAAATACATTCCGTAGACCTTTCCTCATCGGCGATAAAGAAATGCAATACGACAAAATCAGAGGTAACGTTCCGCAGCGCTGAACATAAAATGACTAAACGGAACGCATAACCTACTTGCAAAAATATATTGTAGCTTATATAACCATTTATAATATAATTTTAAAAATTTAATGTTCAGTTTCAAATAATAAAGCTCATCTGTTCTCATCGATTACCAAGAAAATGAATACAATAAAATCGGCACGTAAAAGACATAAGTAATAACGGAATTGACGGAAATTATTGCTTATTACAAGTAACAAAGGTAGGCATGCAATTTGCGCATAGCTCTCTTCCGATAGCAAGAGACCTTTTCAAAATCTGTAATTCTTTCTCTCTTTTATTTAAAAAAAAGGTCATTCCTGATTAATACTAGTACAGGGTTCAGGAGAGGTTACACTGGAATATTGAATTTTGTATCAAAAATAGTAATCACTCCCATTTCACGGGAACAATTTTAGAAGCATGCTAAGGCAACACTGGAACACGTTGTCATATGGGTGTGCGATCACGTGTTTATTGCACAATGTATATTGCGTTTGATACAGCTTTTCGGAATTTGTAGATGCTTATGATAGGAACATGTACTTAAATGCGACCGAAAAATGCAGCCTTAATAGATTTGTATTACATTTCCATTTTTATGGAATTCTGCTTTTGACTTAAGTTGTAAACAAGAAATGTTGTTGGACGTTATTAGCATACATAGCACATAATTTAAATAGTTTAAAACCAATATGCAGCCTTCAATGAAAATACAACTGCGTCGTATCATATTTTATTTTCAACTGCGTCGTATCATTTCGTAAAAATCATTATTTTCTTGGAAAATAAAGATCTCTTTTTAATGAAAATTTAGTAAATGATGCAAAATTATGTTTTGAAGTTTATGGTGAACTCTGAAAACGAGTATATAATTGATTTGAAGGAGAAACGATAGATAAAGCAATATGAACTGCGTCGTATCCACACAATTTCATAAAAATTCTGCCCCGCTTCGAGTTGCAAGTTCGCTATAACTTTTGTTTTACAAAATAGTTGTGCAAGCAACATATACCGAACGAAGCGGAAAATAGTGTAGCGTGTTAATACATATATCTGGTTTTCAGTCATTTCCAACAAAAAGAGTAATAAACAAAAACATACATTTTTCGTTCCAAGATGGCGGCGTTTGTTTACATTTTGTAGGATACGACGCAGTTTTGATTCCCAGCCCCGATAATTATATGCATATAAATGTGACATTACAACATTAACGATTTTGAGAGAAATTTCTGTTACCAGAACAGAATAGAACAGATATTATTAATCAATATCCAATGTGACTTCATCTTCTTTTAAAGGTGAGGAAAGTAAAGTAAAAAATATGAAATTGATTTTATCATCATATCTATTCTTACACATTATTATCAACAAATGTACATGAAAATATATAAACACATACAGTCTACTCCACTTATAACGAGATCGGTTTTAACGAGATACCGCTTACAACGTACATTCTACTGTGTCCCGGCTTTTTTCCTTCTATTTTCCTTTCATTTTTTATCGCTTATAACGAGATCGTTTTAGCGAGATATCGGTTACAACGTACGTAATTTCGCCGTCCCATGCGTATTTTTCAGAATTTTAACGAGGTCACTTCATTTGCACTTCGTCTGCATCAGTTTCTCACCTTGAGAAAAACAATGATGACCAATAATAAAGATCAATTTAGGAAGAAATTATTGACGCGGGACGAGATAATGGGTCTAGTAATTACCGATCAAATTCGTCAGCCTTGTTTTTGTCAGCGCTCCGGGCTAAATTGTCCTTAAGGTGACGAAATGTCATAACAAAACAATTTCATCGAGTGATTAGCACAAAGGAAGCGGCTAATTTCGGTGTTCATGAGAAATGCACTGCATGACTTTTGAAAACGAATTTTAAAATGTACATATTAATGAAAAAGCATGCGGTTAGACTTAGGTTGTGTTAACATTTTTTCTTTAAATTCTACGATAGCTAGATATATGTATATACATGTATATTTAAATAAAACAAAAACTTTTGATTGCAAAGAGTAACCTCCCATTATATGCTCTTCAGAAAGGATGCACGCGAAAGCGAAAGTAGAAATAAATGATGCTCGACGGTGTCGGATTTCTCAATTTGTTCTGTCCCGGTTATAACGAGACCCGGTTATAACGAGGAATCATCCGAAGTCCAGACGATCTCGTTATATCCGGAGTGCACTGTATTTAGAGAAAGCTTATAAATAGCTGATCAATAGATATCAAAAATAATTTTTTATTCATATTTGCAGCTCAAAAACATTTAGATGCAATTGCCTGATCTACTACTAAATAATTCATCTACTTTTAATTAATACTACTATTAATTAATACTACTATTAATTAATTAATAAACTGGAGAAATATTATAAGTGATGTTAATTGTGTTTATATTATAATTAAAGGATGTATAGCCATGCATGTTAATGCATACACATTGGGTTGTTTCCCTTCTCCCTAATTTTCGCGAGGTCGTCACTTCTCCCTAAAATTTCCCCCCAGGATGAGCCCTGAATAAACACGGGAGAAGACCCAGTCGGCTGCTACACACGATTTAGTATGTATTTTAGTAATTACCGTGAGTGAAAAGCGAAGATAAATTGTATGAAGTTGAAAAGATCGTCAAATGCTCGGCATTGACTTCATAAAAATGGGTGATCTGCATAAAATATGCCCAAACCGCGCGGACTAAATGCAACACTGCAACTGATTATAAAGAGTGATATTACTGATTTGTGGTGACTTGTAGAATAAATCATCACAGTGACCAGCCTTCAGCAACCATTCAAATTCCTTGATATTTCAAGAAAGTTCAAAGATCATCAAGAGATGGTCAGTATTTATAAATAAAATATCTGTTTATCTTATTAATACATTTATGACCTTTTCTTTGATTATAATGTCTTAAAAAGATATTTTTCGATGTAAATTACTAAAAGAAATCTTCTATATAAAGGTTCATTCACATCTAGACCTAAGCTTCATGATAATACAAGAAGACAGGATTACTTGTTTAAGTAACTGTTGGAAATATCACATCAATTTTGTACGTCAAGAAATAGGTGTCCTCTATAAAATCCTTATTTTACCCTAGTTAGTCTTTTGAGAAAAAAAGGCAAAAATGGTCTTATAAATATTCATACAATGTATCTCAATATATAGTTGGGAACCATAGTGGGGTTTTCACAAAAAACATAATTTGCTCAGCAATAATAAATAAAATGTTGTCTAAAAGTACATCTGTAATTTAACTTTTCAACACTTAGCCATAATCCGAGAAATAATGTAACATTAAAAAGTTAAATTCAACAGTGGGAATTATCCTTCTATCGTGTATCACCGTAAGGACTGTTTGTTGAAATTGATATTTGGCCTTGTTTATGACTTTGTTTTTCATGTTTTTAAAGCAAACCAAAATAATTCCTGATAAATGTATTTAAAAAGATGATCGTAGAGAATTTGTAGTCTCGTGACAACAAAAGATCTTCATTTTGTTTCTGCAACGTACCAATTTTACAATAGTTTAACCGGTAGCTGGAAAAAGTTGCAATAAATTTGACGTTTTTCAGTCTATTTTGCTTTGCTGGGCTATGGCGGACGTGATTGCGCATGCGTATTGAAGTTTCCGGTAAAATAACTTCCGTCTTTTTCAATTTTATTACTCTTTATTTTTCAAAATCTTTCTAATTGTATACTAAACTTTTCATCAAAACTCTTAGAATAACATTTAATTGTCCCAAAAGTTAATGATAAGTAAAAATAATAAGTCTAAAATATAATTGTACGTGATTGAAATCCTGCATTTTTTACGGGAACAATATTCTTAACATTTTACCGATGATAAATAGAATAACTTATTACCACAGATATATATATACACATTTATAGCTATATTTAGCTCCATGTTATTACCAAACATGCCAGGGTAATATTAAAATGTTACATCATATATTAAATATATAATGATACTTTAATACACAAAAACTGTATTGTATCTTATTTTAAGTGTACTATATATTATTCATTTACCAGAGAGAAGTTTCTAGAGTTTCGTTTCGTCTAGAACTCGCACTCTAAAAAGCTTTACAGTCACTCACAAGTATGCTATATAAATTCTTTTCATATATTTAGATGTCATGAATATTTGTATTGTTACCTTATGTACATTGTATGTAATTGCTGTTATTGTTTGTTCAGCTCTTCAAATATTGGAGGAAATAAAAGTATCTATCTATCTAGCTATATAAGCTATTTTCCGACATAACTTATTATCCTATAACAATTCAAGCAAACAATCTGTATAAAAGAAAATATATAAAAGTGTTAAGAAGATCAATGTACATTTATGAAAGACTCTGTAAAACAGTTAAGATTTTTCAGCACATATAAATATGGGTAAGAAAGCATTAAATGATTAAAAGCAAATATACATTACAATCAAACATCACATAAAATTACATCATACAAGAATTCTATTTATGTACACAACCCTAAAATCAGAAAAAAGGATTAGAATTTTTTTAAAAATTTAAATTTTTAAAATAAATTAAAGTAAATGATTCAATTTTATTTTATTTAAATAAAGTTGACCTAATTTCCAGTATGATGCTTGAGCACATATCAGTAGCAGCATCTGATATGTACTCAGTCATGAAAATATGGGTGTAACTAAAACATGTACAAGTATCATAATAATAAAACTTAAAATGTTGAAATGTTTGAAATGTTTGTGTAACAGTTGCTGATCTGAGTTGGCCTAGATAAATTCATGGTCTAAGTTAATTACTTAAATAATTAGAACCAAAAAAATAAAAGTAGTAATAAAAAGGTAAAAATAGACTTAAAAAAGCTATTGTCCCCTTTATGGGATATATGAAAAGCTGATCAGCAGCTGTCACATATACAAACACTAACATGCACTGACAAATGACTATACAAATATACACACAAGAAGCACATGAAAAGCATTACATGATAAAAACAGGTCTTATATAGTATTACTCTATGGCAGACAGAAATACAGGAAAAACAAAAGAAGAAACAAAAGAAGCATGCAGATTCACTTGATCCACATTTCAAAACTCAACAAAAAAAACATAACAGTCAGGCACACATAGAACATTTGCATATGAAGCCACTCCAGGTTTGGATAAGCCTCCGAAATTCACCGTAATCAGTTTCTGTTCTTAGTTCATTCGGGAGGCTATTCCAGACCTGGGTGGCCTCATAGCGAAAGCTTTTCTTACCATAAGTCTCTGTATTTACTCTAGGAACTTCAAGTGTGTTGTTATTTCTAAAAGAGTAATAAGAGGATTTTACTTTAATTAGTTCTTGAACATATTTTGGTGATATATTTTGCAAACATTTAAAAACTTCAATAGCTAATTGTCTTAATCTACTGATATGTAAAGTTGGCATATTAGCTTTACTTAATAGAAATTCATATGATGAGCTGTAATCCCCAAAAACTATCTTCAATGATCTATGTTGTAACTTTTCAAGTTTTTCAGTATTTTGTTTACTACAAAAATGCCAAACTAAAGGACAATAGTTAAAATTTGAACAAACAAAGGATTTGTAGATTAACAATCTAGTATTTTGATTTAAGAATTTACTCAGTCTAGCAAGAATGTTGATTTGTTTTGCAGCCTTTTTGCAAATGTTAGATACATGTAAGTCAAAATTTAGTAAAGAGTCTATTTCAACACCAAGAAGTTTCACGCTTTTTTCACAGACAATTTCTGTACTATTAAGACAAAAAGAGGTTAATTTACTAGTTGTTTGTTTTCCAATACAAATTGCCTGAAATTTGTCCGGATTGGCTTGCACTAAATTATTATCAAACCATTTTATCATAGATAAACTTTCATTTTCCAGTATAGATTGTAAAGAGTCAATATTGGTATCACAGTAAGATAATGTGTTGTCATCAGCATAATTGTACACAGTGGCTAATTTAATAAAGTAAAAGATGTCGTTAATAAAGATGTTAAAAATAAGAGGCCCTAGAATGGATCCCTGGGGAACTCCCTTACTTATTGACATCCAGTCACTACATGCTTTACCAAGCTTAACCCTTTGTTTTCTTTTTGACAGGTAGTTGTGCATAAGTTCTGCGGCTGTGTCAGATAAGCCATAGGCCTTAAGTTTCAATACGATCAAGTCATGTGGGAAACAGTCAAATGCCTTTGACAGATCCATGAGTATTGCTGCTACATACTCATGTCTATCCAAGGCATTTTTCCAGTCTTCTATTGGCCGTAAAAGAGTAGTTTGACATCCAAATTTAGATCTAAAAGCTGCCAGAAAATTATGAAAAATGTTGTCAAAGTATGAAACTAGTTGTTTATTTATTGATTGTTCAAAAATCTTCGAGAAAGTGGGCAGAATACTTACTCTTTAAAGGTCTTCACCTATGCTGTACGTGGTTCTACTCAGGTACGTATATTATATATACCTGTTCTACTGTAGAAAAACATTCTCAAACAAGTCAAAATATACATGCAGTAGGTGGTAATAACTTAGACTCAAGAAGAACTGGACAGTACAATACTCATGTATCTCAAAAACACGAATACTGAGTTACATTAATTCATTTTTTCTCAGAATTGTTTCCGAGTTTATAACAAGTGATAATAAAATCTGCAAATTGTTTTATGATAATTTCATCTTCATTGCTCATTTTCCAAATAAAGTTGCTTCTCTAAGACATTTTTTTTCTAAGTTCTATCTTTTATTTCATTATATAAAAAGCTGCATTGACTAGTAAAAGCGTTCCAAAGAAGTTACAAAGTGAAGCTCATCTTCAACTTCATTGGAATTGCACACCTCACATATGTCTACTTATCTTTGTTTGTAATTTGTGAGAACTTATCCTTATCTTTGTAAAACAAGCTCTTATATCTTTAATTATCTTTGATTTCTGCTAAAATAAGGTTCCCTACAAAAAAATGTTTAAAACAGTGCATAAACAAGTACGTACCTTTCCCTCACTATATATATATACTTTGTGTATGATATGATTTGTTTGTAATATATTTTGTTCTGTTTATCTACAAAATAATGGGAATGTTTTGCTAATTCAGAGAAGTTGGGATACCAATGATACATGCATAGTAGCTATATAGAGAATATTATTATTAATTGGGTTTTTATCTTTGCACTATCCGTGTCCCCGTTTTTTAAAAACATAGACTAACAAAGAGTTTATACATAACTTTTAGCGTGTCTTGTTTCAGTAGAAAGCTTATAATGCAACTGGAGTGTGTGTGCGCGCGCGCGTGCGTGTGCGTGTTCCAGACCACTTTTAATATTTAATGATTCTATAGGTATATTGTTTAAAATTTCAATACTATCATTTTGTACATCTGTTTTGAAATTTTATTTTCGAATTACATGTATTTTTGTTACTTCATTTCCAGTCATACATACCCGTCTTGGAGAATCTCCGGCCTCTGGCATGCCGATTGAGTGGGCACTGTCTTTTTTATTTATTCTAGTCATAGGAAAAAAATCCTTCTAGGAAAAAAGCCATTGTAAAAATGCTTCGATTTTTTTCTCACCAATGCCCTAAATAAAATATTTCTGGTGCAGTATGTAAAAGCCATGCCTACGTTGACTTGTTTAATTGTTGTTTGTACAGTTTATCGTGCTATTAGACAGTATATACGTATAGAATTTCAAGTTCATGCATGGAATCTTATTTTCAAGGAAATTTATTTTGTAAAGTAAAGCATGGTATTTGACCTTTATTGTCTATGACGATATTAATCTAGAATACAGGCACAAATGCTGTGCACGAATAATGCATGGTTCAGATGATCAAATGGAATATGATTAGTATAAGTAGATTTTAAATGTCTGGTAAGATGGATATATACTATCTGAAAAGAATCTGGATGACATCTATGATTTTCAAAAACAATATTTACAGTAATATAGTAATATAAATTTATAGATTATTTATTAAATAATGAATAACGTACTATTTTACGCGCAAATTCAGAAGTTGGGGTAGGTGATACAGGGCCCATGCCCTCCGGCTAGTATATCGAACTCCTCCTAAATTTGATATAACTTTACGTGATTTTTAAAGTCAAAATCACGCAAAACAAGCACTAGTGAAAATCATGCATTTTTTTTACTAATGACCCCCTCTGTCAAATAAGAAAAAAAAAACCTTACCCCCTCTGAAATATATATTTACCTTTATTGAAATTTCCCAACCTGCGCCTGGATTTATAACATTAATGATTATCAATAAAATTTGAAATAACACTCAGAAATCAAAACATCTAGAACGGTATAGATAAGAAGGCTATGTGATAGCAGTTTTTTTTACTTGCATTTTTTATTGTTTTGTGATTATTAAGTGGCAATTAATTACCTAAGAAAACTACTGAATAGCTTGTTGTATGTTTTGTTCCTGGAAAAAACGCAGCTTGCTAGTCTACAAGTAGATTTTGACGCTTTTCGTGGAATGGCACAAACGTGTCACGATGAAGGTTCCATAATAATAACCACAAGTATGAACACATCTGCGGATGAAATCTAACGTCACTTTTTCACCAATTTCATGTTTAAGTGTTGAATGGTCATTAAGCCAGTGCTATAGGATGTGTGGAAGGTTGTTTTCACTTATAGGTA